TTGGGCTAATTAAATAAATCAATCATCGCAATGTAATAACCGTATATAGTTTTTTTTTCTTCCAAATTTGAACAATATAATTATTATTTATTGAGTATATATTTATTTATATCAATTGTAAATAATATTTTTAAATTATTATTTAAATAATACAATGCAGTAAATATTAATATTAGTAAACTTAATTTTAAATTGCGCGGTGTTTAAAAACAATATACTATCGCAAAAATGCAAGTTTTTACCTGTTTAACAATCGCGCGCTCATACTTGATTTGTTATTACTTAAACGATCATTAGGAAGACTATTGTTTAATGCCCATTAAAAGGGTATTATATTATTAATGTGTTATTAAAAAAATTGTGAATGGATTTAAAATGTCTTTTTCCGTACCTCTTCTTAAATGAAAACTTACCGAAGAAAATTTAGTTTGTATTTTTTGTAATAACATCAACAATATTAAGTTAGTGCAAAAACCTAAAGTAGATTTTTACATAACAATACAAAATGCTGCTCTTCGACGAAAAGACAGTGTGACTGAAAAATTTAATTTAATCTAGCCAATATACCTTGTACCTCTGACGCACTTTACCAACACTTGTTAAGAGCTTTCGCTAAAACATATATTTGGCGAAATGCCATATATTCCCGCTATCAAACTCTCGATTTTACACAATATGGATATTATATGTCTGATAGTGGTGGGTTGGGAAACCGTGCAAATGCAAAAAGACTTGCAAAACTAATGCTTGCAACTGCAAGAAAAATCATGTCAACTGTGTACCATTATGTGGATGTGATTTAGATTTTTGTGAAAACAAAGATACTTTTACTGAGTGATATTAGTGTGTTATTTAACAATCTTTTGTACAATTATTTTATGTAACTATTATTAGACTTTAGACGAAATTTATATTATAACTCAATTGATATAAATAAATATATACTCAATAAATAATAATTATTTGTAAGTATATGTAAACTATGCATAAGTACGATAGAGGCGCACGGTAGCGCGCGCGCCGCGGCGGCTCAAAAATCGAGTGTACGCGCATACTTAACAATTAAAAAACAACGGTCTAAATTAAAATAAGCCCCGATTACTCTTCACAATCTTGAAGTTGAATGTTTAAACTTTAATTTAGACACTTGGTAACCTCAAAAATAATAATTTACATATGTGTTTTCAAGCCTCAAAAATGCGTATTTTCGCGTTTTTCAGACTTTAAATCGCTTATAACTCGAAAACTATCAACTTTAGAGAAAAAATGACAAGAGACTTTTTTTGTTTAAAATGGCCCAAAAAACCTAAAAAAACGTTTTCCAGATTAAAAAAAATTATTTTTGGACTTTGTTTAAAAAATTGTTTAAACAATTTCTGCCCAAAAATTTCGCCCGGCACCCTTCAGATTTGTTTAAAGGGACATTTTTGAACCGGAATCCGCGAAGAAACCGAATCAGAAACATTTTCCCAACGGGAGCGGCCTCACAGCCTGGACTATTATTATATTTTAATTTTATTTCACAAATTTAAATTTTTTTTTATTTATTCTTTTTACTCCTTTTCTTATTTCCTTTATTTTGAACTCAAAATTTAGTTATTCCTTTAAACTCAAATAGCAACCCTGAGATAAGAAAACATATGAATTATGAAACTGGCGTCGTTAATAAAATTTATTCACATATTCGTAATAAAATTCGTTAAATAAAAATTTTTTGTTTTAATTAGCTAATTAGATCATAATTAATTTAATTATTGTTTTATCATATTTCAAAATTACAATATCCTATATATAAAGGAATATAATGATAATTTTAGAAGTTGAAACAACCAAAATACTTTTCATTGTATTTTCCGTAATAATTTGAATTTGTAAGAAGAAACAACAAAGTGAATTATTCGAACTTAAAATTAAATTAAGTATGTGGACAAAACTTTTTGAGATATAGAATTTAAGCTTTTTAAGAAGTTCACAACTTTCCGACAAAGCTAAAAGAAACAATGTGGTAATTTCCGCATTTCTTTATTCTTTATGAAATTTCAGAGAGCGCTTAACTTTAACAGGCTGTCGCTGACTTTATTTCATTAAATAATATGAATTATTGAAGGAAGTAAAGAACGACGGAAATTTAAAGTTTTGCAAATTTAAAGTTTTAGACGGTTTTTTGCAGGTGTATAAATTAGCTGTTATCGTTTTGAGCATCTCCATTTTATAGAAATATATTTTCATAAAAACATTCCTGCAGGTGCAATAATTTTGAATTACATTATTATTTATCCCTTTTTAGGTGTTATTATTTTTTTTTACTTTTAGGTGTTATACTATTTTTGTGACATTTCTCTTACTACTGTAAAAGGCCAGTATGAAAATTGGGATTTAGGTTCGACTTACCTAAAAAAGGCCAAAGCTATGTTTCCGCAGCTACCAGGTACTCCAGCGGAGGTGGACAAAGACGCGGCCTAGGAACTATGAAAGTCACGATGTCTGCTCATAAAGATGGAACGGGGATCCACAAAGAAAAGTAGGGATTCAAACTTCTCCCAAAGAAAAAGGAAGAACCTGTGCCGGTGAAGTTCCTGAAAACGTGCAGGAAACTGGTACAGAAGATGGAGGAGCTGGGAAGAGAAATCTTGGTAATCGACACACCGGCAGCACTGGGAGTTGAGACATCGGAAAAAATTATGGAGTGGGCTGCAAGAGAAAGAGATGTAACGATCATACTCCTAGGTAATAAAATAATAAGAAGGTGGACCAACATCAACACCAAGCCCAAAGACCAAAATGGAGTCATATTATCAGTACCAAGAATCTATTGTCTAAACACAGATAAAAAACAAACTGACAGGAAGAAAGGACATTGACATAAAAAGGATCAGACAGACTAGAGACCAAGGAATATCACTGGAGTTGATCGGAGACGAAAATAGTGAAGGAAGTGAAGAAACTCCTGTCTCATAATACATGCTGTCGAGAGCAGTGGCAAAAGAAGGCATCGTGAAGAGAAGAATCTTGGTACATGAAATCCCACCCAATAAACGAAGAAGAACAAAGCCAGAGGAGAGCTGCAAGAGCGAGCCTGTGATATCATAAAAATTGGGACCGAGACACAATACGCAGTAAGAGGGATGATAAGTGCCGTAATCGATGTGGATGAAGACGCTGCCGAAAATATCTTGAAAATGAAAAGAATAAAAGTAGACTACACATCTCCAGCAATACAAATCATGGGTAGAAATACCTAGATGCCTGAGATGTCTTGCCTTTGGATACAAACAATGGCACTGCAAGGGGCAGAACAGAAGAGGATGTTGGTTCCGATGTAGCAAAGAGGGTCACATAGCGCTGGAATGCTAGGAAAAAAACAACCAGATGCCTCAACTGCGACGTGAATGGGCATGTCGAATTCAACAATATACCCAAAGTTCAACCGACTGGTTGAAAAAAGGCATCACTGAGGACTAGTCCCAAGAAGAGTACTAGAATGTAAAAGAGAGCGCGAAAGAAGTCCAAGGTTTAGAAATAACAGACAAAGGAAACAAGACTAGAAAGCTGAGGGTGCTCCAAACTAATGTGGGTAACAGCAAGATTAGCACATGATCTTGCTGAGGCTGCCGCAGTAGAAAAGAACATCGATGTGCTATTGACGACGGAACCATATTTATAGATACGACCGGAAGGGCTACTGTACGAATCTACAATAGAAAGCTACGAGTGTATGGAATTAAGCCGAAAGAAGTAAATGTTATTGTTCGGATGGAGGGTGCGGCTGGTGTGCTGTTATATTTCTCCAAACGTAACGGTAGGCGAGTACCAGATGATCTCCACTTAACGTGGAGTTATAACCGAATACTTATGGTATTATGAGTTGCATACTTTATTTTATCTACGGCATGTCAGGTAATATTATGTTTTGTAGGTTGATATTGTGCTTCGGGTTTCTGATAAGAAATAGAAATATATGTTGTACATATTAGAAAAATCATATTATTATTTTTAAATATTAAAATTTATTTTAAATTTGAGAAATTTAAACTTTGAAACTCTCAAATACTTTGTTAATTCATCTATGTGGACATTCCGTCTTAAATGAGAGAGAATTGTTAAACCTTTATAATTAAACCATTTTATTAGTTTGAGCAAATTCAATTTAATTTTATTCTGTATTATCTTCCGTCGGTCAGATAGCTCAGCGGGCTGTGCGGCTGCCTCTTATTCGCTTCACTGTCGAATGGTTCGGTGGATGTGGGATTGAGCCCCAGCTCGGTGTACAGAAAACAAAAAGTCTAACGCAGCAGTTTAAAATTCTAGATGAATCTGCGGCTTAGACTAGAATATGCTGGATCTCATCGGCGTATGGTGGAGCAGTACGGCAAGAGATAAGGGCTTGCGGCTCGGTGATACTCCTCCATAGATCCCTACCGGACGGGCGTAACGCCTTAAAAACCGGATATATTATATATATATATATATATATATAAATATATATATATATAATATATATATATATATATAATATATATTATCTTCCCAATTATCTGCGCTATATAAAATTACAGTGTCATCGGCAAAACTTACTATCTGCCCCTCAGTATTGAGATTATATAGATCGTTGACATGGATACTGAATAGTAGTGCGTACAAAGGTACCACCTACTTTGATATGAACGAAAACGACCTTATTTCGTTTTCTTGTACTTTGCAGTATACAATATGTGCAAAAGTTCACATTTTTTTTAAAAGCTTGTTATTGCGTCGATGTGTAAAAAATCAATATATGGCGTTGGAGAAAAATTCTTCAACCTCTCATATTTGAACTAATAAATCAACACGATATTATGACGTCATTTCAAGCTCCTATACCTTCATCATTCAGCCTGTATTCAGCCGTAGTGTCTGATGTTCTTCGATCTCAACATCTTAATTAGACTCCAAGTTTACCATCTTCATTCTTTGTATTACTAACAAACCAAATAAAATAAAAAATATTTTTATCTTTTCAGATATATGGATACATATGAATATCTCGCAGACGAACCTGATTTTGACCCTGACGAAGAAAACTTACAGAAACCAGGACTTCTTTCGTTCCCTAATCCGATGGCACCTCCATCTAGAACGATGAATCTCAGAATGGTGCCCGATTTAGCGTACACACGGAGCGCAGGTCGACCTCGGACATATAGACCTACAATTTTTGATACTTCTTTTACTGTAAGTAGTACTTTATATTATTACTCACAACACACTATACCATGCAGTCCATATGTATGAAATAAATTCAGTTTTTATCGTTATTATGTACTGAAAACCTGAAACAGGTTGATTTTTATTCTTAAATTGACAATTTACAGTATGAAAATATTATACCTCTTCAGCACCCCCTTTGAATTATAAGCACCCTCTCGATAATTTTTAAATAACAAAGGGGGTCGTATGGTACCTTGTTAGAAAGTGATTTTAGTCCTCTGTTCAGTAATATAAAGTATTTTAAGTGTGGTGCAATCACAACTGAAAAAATTGATTTTTAAAATGAATTTTGATAATGTCTCTATCACAAAACTTTAGGTTGAATGAAGATAATAATGTCACATAATATTTAGAATGTATTTTTTAATGTACTTTAGAATTAAATTAAATAGTCAAAATGACCACCATTCACTTCTTGATAGTAACTGTGGCGATTTTGGAATTATCGTACAACATTTTGTACGACCTCGGGGGTTATTTTGTTAATTTCTTCGGTTATCCTAACTTTTAAATCAGCAATACTGTTTGGCCTATTAAAATATACTTTAAATTTTATATAATCCCATAAGAAGTAATCGAGAGGAGTCAAATCAGGGGATCTAGCGGGCTATTCGATCGTTCCACGTTTTCCAATTCGGTTGCCTTCCATCTTATACATATATTTTATCATATTTTTTCCTTGGTTGCGAGCTATGCCACTACCTACTAACTTTATTTTATATATATATATATATATATATATATATATATATATATTGTTATGATTTTGTATTTTTGATTTTAATTTATTTACTTGAAACAATCACAAAAATATACTTTCTCGTTATCAATGTCCTAAAAAATAAACTTCTGATATTTCTTATGTTCAGTGAGTTCAAAGTTTTCTAGTTGTATTTATCGGGATAGGAAAAACAAAGGATAATAATAAAAAGTATAATACATAAAATACAGATATTTTTTATTTTATAAAAAAAAAACAATTATTAAATTTGCCGTTATCTTTTCAATCAGCGAATATGCATGTAATGAAATTAATACAAAAAGAAAATTTTAATTCTTATTTTCTTCTTGAGACAAAACAATTTGAAACTAATTTAAATTTGGATACCTTTATAAACTTTTATCTTCCTTATATTTAAAAAATCTATTTTATTATGGAAACAAAACTTTAAAACATTTGATAAATGTAAAAAGGTCTAATCATGCTTTAAACTGGTAACAACAATGAGGTAAACAAATCGCATTTAAGATTTACACACCTTTCAACTTGAAAAAGGAAAATATCTGACCTTTCTTCCCTGGATTGTTTTAGGACCACACAAAGAATTGTCCACCTTCCACAGCAATGTGTTCTTCCACCTTGCGCCTCGGCTTCTTGTTTCAGTATCTGCTCCTTCAGCCAATTTAACTGACTTAATTTAACCTCCTGACTCAATTCTCCAACACTTAACACACGAAAATCACTTCTTCAAACATTCATATAACTTCTTCGTGACCCAAGGATCTCTTTTCTCACCTGGTGCCACAACTATTTAACACGTATTCCAGAAACTGCACACTTTAGATTCAAGGATTTCTTTACATCGACTTGCAATCTACTTCTTCCACAATTCTGCTAACAAGACTGGTAACTTTATCCACTTAACAATGCCGGCCTCCAACTCACGAACACACCGCCTGTCGAGACGCAACCTTTCTTTTCGATCACTCAAACATCACTGTCTTCTCGAACCAACAAAAACTCTATCAACCCTCGGTCTGTCGATTTCCCCTTCCAAAAAGATCGTCTCATCACAAAATCCAAATTTGTTTACCACACTTGTTGGAATGCTAATTACCGTTTTCAAGCAAGGAACTTTAATCTTTTAACAATGGTCATTTCCTTGTAAACAAATAATTTTTATACATTTCAAAGATTTTTGCCTTAGTCATAATAGAAGATTTATACAACACAATACCGGACTAATCCTTCAGGTAACAGCTTATTTTCTATAATGTACAAATGGTTTGTCAATAACTCGTTTAGAATGGCTTAGTTCTTTATAAGTCATAAAATTTCGGTACTAATCTATCTATTTACAAATATACAAACTTTCTATCTTAAAATTAATACATATTTTGTCTTCAGATTTCTTAAAAACTTACTTCCGATGGATTCCTTAATTATTTTTGTTCCTTCCGCGTTTGTGGAAGAAGAAGTATAATAAATCCCCGCCTTTGCATATGATAAAAATTACTGAATTATGTAGGGATTTTTCTCTTATGCAAACATTCTTTGTCTCTTATTCATAATATTTATAAACATCGTTGATATTATATATTCCCCTAATCTTGTCTGAATCCAAATGCTTCAAAACATAACTATTTATACCATTATCATTGTTTATTACGTAAGGACCCTCAAAAACAGGCATTAACTTTGCGCATACATTGCCAGGGATGTTGGACACTCGCAATGCTCTCACCATAACCTTCTCACCTTTTTGGAAAGTAACTGGTCTTCTTTTCCTATTTTGATCTTGTCTCTGGATATATTTTTCGTTTGCTCTCCGCAATCTCCTTTGCACATCTTCCATTATCTGTGTGTATTCCTTTTGTTTTATATCTTCCCATGGCCTTATCGGCATTATCCCTTTCATTATATATTCTGGGGTTTCTTTCGTTACGGTGCTTGGGATGGTATTTAAATACATTTCTACTTCGGACACTTTCCGATCCCATCGTCGATGTTGACCATCTGTTGTAATTCGAAGAAATTTCGTCACTTCCTGTATACATCGTTCCGAAGGATTACTCTGAGGATGTCTGATGCTAACAAAATTTGTCTCTATTCCCCGTTCTCGAAGTTGTCCCTTGAAACGATCATTCCTGAAGTATGTTGCATTGTCTAGAAGAATCCTTCTTGGTGTTCCTACGGTGGCTATAAAATTGTCGATGTTTCTCATTATTTCTTCGCCTTTCGTGGTCCGGCAACTGTATAATTTTACATATTTTGAAAATACATCTATCATGACTAAAACATGTTTATTCCTCTTCGTTGTCATAATTAGATCGCTTAATATATCTATTGCTACAATATCTAATTTGTTCCGGGATATAATATTTTTCGTAACGTTTTCATTCTTGAAATTCCTAATTTTATACTTTTGACAGATCGGGCACTTTTGTGTAATCTCCTTTGTAATGCGGTAATCCTGTCGGCAAATATAATTTTCTCGAAACACCAGCCAAACTTTTCTGCTGCCGATATGTCCATTGTCTTCATGCAATTTCTTTATAATCTTCTCTGCCAATGTTTGTGTCACCAAATATAGTTCCCTTCCGTCTATTCTCTTGAAATATATGTCGTTTTCCATCTCCGCTCTTCTTTTTTCTTTTTCCTCTAATTCTCCTTGATCTCTTCTTATTTCATTTAATGAGAATACACCTTCTTCTTCTGTCAAGATATTTAGTCCCACATGTAACGTAATTGCTTCCTTTTTTCCCGTGTCTTCATCCCGTGTTAGTGCGTCGGCTATGATATTGTCTTTTCCCTTGATATACCGGAATTCAAAATCGTACTCCTGTAATAATAGAATGCCTCTATGTATCCGATTATTCACCAATCGGTTCTTCATGATGTGAATCAACGCGGCATGATCCGTCTCGATTGTGAATTTGGCTCCCAATAAGTAATATCTTAATTTGTTTACACAAAATAGTACACTGGCAAATTCCAATTCTGTCACGCTATATTTTCTTTCGTGAGTCTTTGTCACTCGAGATATAAAACATATTGGCACTTCTTGATCGTTTTGTATCTGTGACAAAACTCCTGCAAATTTTTGTATTGACGCATCAGTTCGGAGTATAAATGGTAGATTATAATTGGGGTGGTATATTTTCGTTCCTTTCGCAAATTCTTGTTTTAATATTTGAAAAGCCTTCTCCTGTTCTTCTTTCCAATTCCATTTTATCCCTTTTTTTAGTAATTTTATTAGAGGAATTTCCTTCTGGCTTAAATCGGGAATTAGTTTTTTAAAATAATTGATCGTGCCAAGAAAACCTCTCAATGTTTTCAAATTGGTTGGTCTTGGATATTCATCAATGAGCTTGACTCGATCTTCGGCTAGGCTGACTGTTTTAGTGTCCAATTGAAACCCTAGATAAATTACTTCCTTTTGGAAAAATTGACATTTTTCGATGTTTAATTTTAATCCCGCTCTATCCAATTCTTCCAGAATTATTTTTATATGTTTCATATGGCTCTGTACATCTCGTGAAAAAATCAACAAATCGTCGATGTAATGGACTATGAAATCTTCGTATCGATTTAAAATCGAATGTAAAGCCCGTACCAGTGCTGCACAAGCGCTTTGTAAACCAAAAGGCACTACCTTGAATCTGTAGACAATACCATCAATTGAGAAAGCGGTGTAGTTTCTACATTTTTCAGCTAAAGGTATCAACCAAAAACTATGCTTTAAATCAATTTTAGAAAATATGTGTGACCCTGTAATTCTTCCAAATATGGCCTCGATGTTTAGAGGTGATTCATATTGTGATACCGTGTGCTGGTTGATATTTCTGGCATCTAAACATAGTCTCAATTCTCCACTGCTTTTCTTTACTATTACAATTGGATTAATATACGGTGAATCACATCGTTCAATTATTTGATCTTCCAACATTTTATTAATTTCTTCTTTCACCTGTTGTCGATACTTATATGGAATCGGGTACGTTTTCGATCGAAAATTTCCCAAGTTTTTTACCTCAAATGAATGTTCGTACTTTCTGGCCACTCTGTTTTCCTCATTTATCAACGTTTCGTATTTTTTTAATATCAAACGCAACTCATTTTCTCTTTCTTCTCCACACATCAATTTAATTTCTCTTTCCTCAGATTCTTGACACATATTTATCGTCCATTCTTCATCCTCTTTTTCATTAATCTCTTCCCTAAAAACCACTGTTTCAATTAT